GACAAAAGCAGGGACTAGGTAATTTTCAACAGATGACCAACTGCCACCTGAACATCCAAATGGATTTTTTTCTGACCTCGCTTGATATGCTCTAGTTCAGTGGAGGGTGACAGGATGTCAAGGAGACCTGAAACCTTGTCAGCTGAATGACAGCTGAAGAAAATGGGAACATATAGCTTGGAGTAGGGAAACATGGGGGACCTGAGGGGTGGAATCACATGACTGACTCACTGCTGTGTGCAAGAAGGAATAGGCTTATTCTGAGTTGCCCAGAGTGTGGTACAAACTCCAGACAATCAGATTTTGGCTCAATTTAAGTGACTTGTCTTTTTGTTGTTGTTTTAATTTTGAGGGAAATGTTTTAACAGTAACAATAGCATGTGCTCTTTGGAAAAAATTTAAACAAGAATGAAACCTACAAGGTGAAAAGTAAAAAAGCCTTCTTCTTCCTGCCTGTTCCCACTTCTCCCACCCAAACCCATTCCTCACGAATATCCTAGATCTTTATCCTCCGGCATCCCTATCTGTGCACATACAAACACACCTTCCACACATATACACATGCATACTATGTTGACATATGATTTTGTTCTATTTTTGTTTTAGTCTTAAAAGTATAGCCATAAAACTGGCATATCTCAGGAGGTTATTAAGAAGGGCCCTCCAATGTAAATTTCAAAGATTTCTGAATGACTTGACATAGGGATGCCTTGCTAAAGAATTGATAACAGTCAAACATGACTTTAACTCTTGACTGTAAGGATTTGAAGTGTTCCACAATTTTAGTTAGCCTGTTCTGACTTTTTTTTTCATTAAAAGCTTTTAGTAGGTGCCTTGAAAAATAAGTCCATATTTTGCCCTGGCACATGTTCACTAGTGGTAAAGAACCTGTCTGCCAACTTAGGAGATATGAGACGCGGGTTCCGATCCCTGGGTCGGGAATATCCCCTGGAGAAGGGCATGGGAACCCACTCCAGTATTTGTGCCTGGAGGATCCTATGGATAAGAGGCCTCTGGCGGGCTACAGTCCATAGAGTCTCACAAAGTCTAACACAACTGAAGTGACTTAGCACACATGTTCGTAAGAGAAAAAAATATTCAGATGATTTAAGGGGTTTGAAAATGGAGGGGCCTCTGAGAGTTTTGGACACTGGCTACGTTTAAGCAGAGGGTGAATGACCATTTTACTGAGATGCTGTGAAGGAGATTAAAGCCACAGATGGGAAGGAAGAAATGCCGAGATTTGGATTGAGCGGCTTCCCAGACCCATTTCAACGTGCTGAGTCCCTGGCTTCCTGCGCATGCTCCCCCGGGGGGTAAGAAAGATTCTGAAGGAGCTCTGTGAACAGGAGCATCCAAACGGCCGACCCCCACCAGGAACAACCGGCGCATACTCAGCCGGGCTGGTTCCGGAGGCCGCCCACTGACACGTGGCTGGTGGACAGGAACGCCTGCAGGCAGCAATGCTTGTTCCAGCTGCTCTTGTACCTTGGGCGCTTTCATCTTAGGTAACTTGATTTAAAAGGAAAGCAAATTCCTCTCTAAACACTGCAGGTTCTAAATTGATAGCAAATACTGTACATTCTTAAGAGTCTGGCAGGACAGGAAATTACTTCTTCACCTGTTTCCTATTTTGATATTTCATCAAGATGGAATTTAGTGGCTATGAAATATATTATTATTATAGTTGATCTTAAAAAAGAGACATTGGTTAGAATTTTCAGTGTTCAGAATCCCCTCTATTTGTTCATGGGTTGGACAGACGTAAATATTTCTTTTCTTTTTACCTTAAAAAAATAACCCCAAGACACACTTCAAAAAAGCACATTGAACATCTATATATGTACATTCACCAATTATTAACATTTTACTATATTTTCTCTATCTCTGTCTATATAAATATACATATTAATATCATTGTCAGGAACTGCTATAGGTTGAATGTTTGTGCCCCCCTCAATCCATGTGTTGAAATTCTAACCCCCATTGTGATGGTATTGGGGTGGGGCCTTTGGGAGGTGATCAGGTCACGAAGGCAGAGCACCCAAGATTAGGAGCAGGGCCCTTATAAGAGGACCTAAAGAGATATTTCTCCAAAGACATACAGATGGCCAAGAGGCACATGAAAAGGTGCTCAGCATCATTAAGTATTATGCAAATCAAAACTACAATGAGATACCACTTCATACCAATCAGAATGGCCATCATCATAGGTCTACAAACAATAAATGCTAGAGAGGATGTGGAGAAAAGGGAACCTCTTGCACAGTTGGTGGGAATCTAAATTAATACGGCCACTATGGAGAAGAGTAAGGAGGCTTCTTTAAAAACAAAAAATAGCGTTGCCATATGATCTAGCAATCCCATTCCTGGGCGTATATAAGGAAAGGATGAAAGCTCTAATTTGAAAAGACACATGTACCCCAATGTTTGTAGCAGCACTATTTACAATAGCCAAGACATGGAAGCAGCTTAAGTGTCCCTCAACAGATGAGGATAAAGAAGATGTATCTCTATCCGTATATGTACACATATACATATATAGTGGAATACTACTCAAGTAATAAAAAAGAATGAGATAATGACATCTGCAGCAACATGGATGGACCCATAGATCAACATACTAAGTGAAGGAAGTCAGACAAGGGTAAATGTCATATAATATCACTTATATGCAGAATCTAAAAAAAAGAGACTAATGAACTTATTTACAAAACAGAAGCAGACTCAGATAATGAACTTAATGGTTACTGGGGGGAAGGTTGAGGGGAGGGATAGATTAGGAATTTGGGATCGATATGTACACACTATACTATACTTAAAATATATAACCAACAAGGACCTACTTTATAGCCCAGGGAACTCTGCTCAATATTCTGTAATAACCTAAATGGGAAAAGAACTTGAAAAAGAATAGAGATATATATATGGTATAACTGATTCATTTTGCTGCACAACTGAAACTAACGTTATAGTGTTAATCAACTATATTCCAATATAAAATAAAAATTCAAAAAAGAGTACTCACCAAATTTTTTTAAAAAAAAAGACCCCCACAAAGCTCCCTTGACCCTTTCCCCCTTTGAGGATACAAGGAGAAGTAGACAACCTAGAAGAGGGCCCTCACTTGGACATGCACAATGATCTTGGACTTCGAGACTCTAGAACTGTGAGAGATACTTTTCTGCAGTTTGTAAGTCATCCAGTCTGTTGTATTCTGTTACAGCAACCCATATGGACTAAGGCGGGCAGTATTTGAGGTGAGTTACAGACACTGTGTTTCTTCTCACCTAAACATATGTGCAAGTGTTTGCTGAGAACAAGGGCCCAGTGTAATGATCCAATTGAGGACACTTTCCAATATAATACTATTACTGAACACAATCATATTCAAATTTGCCCATATTTCTAATATTGTTCTTTGTAACATGCTCTTCCAATCGAGGACTGCATATGCATACTTAGTTGTCATGTTTCTTTAGTCTCTTTTAACTCAGTGGTTCCTCAGCCTTTGTCTTTTATAACACTGATATTCTTGAAGAGTACAGGCCAGTGGCTTTCTAGCATGTCTTTTGATTTGGGTTTATTTGGTGTTTCCTTTGGACAAGATTCAAACTATGTACCTGCTGTGCCCTTCTCAGAACATCACCTTAGGAGGCACTGGCTGTCTGTTTGCCCCATATTGGTGACAGTGACTTTTGATCAGGTGGTACCCAGATGATTTCTCCACTTTACGGAATCCTTTCCCTTTTCATAATAAATAATTGATGAGTAGACACTGGTATTGTCACCCAGCACTTTTCACTCAAGATAATTTTTTCCGTTTGTTCTAATAAACAATCTATGGAGAGTTACTTTTAGGCTATGTAAATAGCTTGTTTACAAGCAAACTGGTTTTAGCATCCACTGATAATCCTTGCCCAAATTGATGACAATGGTGCATAGATGCTTCTGGAAAAGGGAATATTCTATTAATAATACTGAGGTTTCTTCCTTGCACCCTTTCCTCATATTCCTCCTCTAACACCAGAAGGGATGCCACAGGCAAACCATTTTGGCCATTATGACTAAAGGTCTCTGACAGCACCTTCTCCCCACCATCCCAAAGTCTGAGCTCTGCCTGGAGGATGAGGCAGCCATGGCATAGCAACAAGAGCCTGAGGTTGAGAGGCAGATGAGCCGTGGCCTAGCAACTCTACCTGGAGAGTCCACAGCTTCCTCTAAACGAACACAACCTAAACTGCGCTCCTTTGAGGAGGTCACGCCCTCAAACCTGTGCTTCCCTCAGAGTTCCAATTTCAGTTGCCCAAGCCCAAAATCGGGGCAGCACACTCTAGTTCCGACTCCTTGTGACTCTCCACATCTAATTAACAACCATCCTATGTGATGATACTTTCCAAACATCTCCAAGAATCCATCCTCTTCTCTCCAGCCCTCCTGTGCCACCGGGTTCAGGCTACCACCATCTCTCTCTCACCTTCTCTTCTGCAACAGGCTCCTGACTGTCCTTGACTCCAAGATTATGTGAACCAAAATCCATTCACTTCACTTCATTCAGAGTCACCTTTCAGTGGTATAAACCTGATCATGTCCCTCCCACCCTCACCCCAGTACACCCTTTGGTAGCTCCTCATTCCTGTGAGGATGGTTTAGCTAAAGTGAGAAGTCTCAACTCCCTACCATGGGATAAAATGACCGCAGCCTAGAGTTGGCCCATTTCACCAGTGATATGTTTCATCATGGAAGCACTTCTTAACTTACTTACTGACCTCGCTTCTGGCCAGACAGACCAAGATAGGCACAAAGTGACATAACTGTATATGAAAGATGTTCTTGAAAAAAACACATGCAGCTCCCCAATGTGCACATGGAAAGCAACTTTCCCTCAAGAAATCATGGAAGCAGCTCTGACCTGGCCATTTCCAGGACTGTGACTTTAGAAAGTCGTCCCCCAGCGGTGGATCCTCCTCCTTACTTGCAGAGAGAAAGTAAGTACTCACCAGGAGAGAGAGCCTTAAGTTTGCTCAACAGGGTGGGTGAGGCCATTGAAAGACTGGCCACCAGAGGGCGCACCATGACCCTGCAACAGTCTTGAGGAGGGCTGGGTTCCACATTTATCTCGAAAGAAAAGATATTAGAAACATATTAGATATATTTATTTATGCTTTCTGACTAACATATGCATCCCAAATCCCAGGGCAGGCACATTCTTTTATTTTTGTGCCGTATCCATGGTTTCGGGACAAACATGCTAAGAAAAACTTTTCCCATCACTGAACAGAAAAGGAAATACGAAAGCTTGGGCTGTTTTCTTCTTCCAAAAGTCAGACCACCTTTTAAATAGTCTCCTTAGGCACTGAAGACATGTCTAAAACTAATTCACTAAAGAAATGTCTAAAACTCTTTATAGCACATTATTCATAAATATTAGACATTTCTCAACAATAATGAGAATCAAGCAGAATGACAATATTAATAAAATATGATTAACAGTTACTTCTTATTGAGTATTTACTGTTTCAGATATTATGCTGAGTTTGATATTCATTCTAAGTAAGTATAAATGTATGCAACTCACAGAATAAGCTTTAAATATAAGTATTATTCCTATTTTGCAAACAAGAAAACTGAGCCCCAGAGCGCTTCAGTAACGTCTAAGATCACAGAATCGGGATTTAAATGGAAGTCTGTGTTCCCACTCAATGAGTGAGCTCTGCGTCTTGGCGACCTCTCCTCTTTCTCTTAAAATCCCACAGTCTTAGAACAAGATGGTGAAGGAGTAGGTGGGCGTGGAGTCATCTCTCTATGGATACATCAGGAATACACCTTCAGATAGAGAAGTGCATGCAGAACACCAGCTGAGAGCATACAGGAGTACCTGATCAGCAGAAAAGAATATTTAGAACCATGCAAAACTCGGTAGGATGAAGGAATTAGGGGGAAAACAAGAGTGTTAGCAGGACTGGACTTGCCCTTGGTGGGTGGGAGAACTGAAGCAGGGGTCTGATCCCCACCTCAGGGCAATTGTCTAAGTCAGAGGAGAAACTTTAAGGCTGAGAGTGAAACAGTTGATCTGTGGCAGCCTAAATGGAATGAGAATCAGACAGTCCTTGCCCCAGCCATGCATACCCTGGACAGGGATGCCGGTCCCCTGGAAGGCGCAGCAGCTGGGAGCTGGAGTTTAGGGATTGTGGAGCAATCCCAGGGCGAGGGCTGCTGTTGACTGCAGAGAGACCGATGGAGGGGAGTTAAGGGAGGTGATTGTGGTGGGAAATGCCTGTGGAGGAAAGCTGGGCGGCTACGGAAGCAAGGCAGTACTGCTGAGTCACATGTAGGGGGTGGAGCCATCACCATAGCCTCTCTCTCCCCACATGCCAGCATCTGCAGCTGAACAATAGAGAGGCTGGCCCATCAAAGGCCTGACACATTGACCTACCAAGCAGGACCCCACCCAGGGTGCCCCTTTAAGTGCCTGATGCACCACGATACAGAGTAGCACCCCAGCCAGGAGAGCCTCTCTATGTGCATGAAATGCCAGGGGACAACAGAGAAGGACCCCAGTCAAGGGAGCCATCTAAGTACCTGGACGGGCAGAGCTACAGGCAAAGACTGGCCAGAGAGGCCTTCTGATTGCCAGCTACAAGAGGCTTGCAAAAAGACTCTGATAGGGCCATAACTCCTGCTGCGGAGGCAGTCCCTGTCCCTGCACACTTGGCACTGCCAGGGTCCCCATAAGCCAAGAAGCTGCGCCACCTTCACGCTCAACTCTCACTGTGGCAGAGCTGACACAGGCAAAAAACGTCTTGTGTCTATGCATGCAGGGTCACTTCAGTTGTGTCCAACTCTTTGTGACCTTATAGACTGTGGCCTGCCACGATTCTCTGTCAGGGAGGGGGTTTCTCTAAGCAAGAACACTGGAGTGTATTGACCAAGACGGGTTGCCATATCCTTCTCAGTTCAGTTCAGTCGCTCAGTCGTGTCCGAGTCTTTGAGACCCCATGAATCGCAGCACGCCAGGCCTCCCTGTCCATCACAAACTCCCAGAGTTTACTCAAACTCATGTCCATCAAGTTGGTGATGCCANACCTAGAGCCAGACATCCTGGAATGTGAAGTCAAGTGGGCCTTAGAAAGCATCACTACGAACAAAACTAGTGGAGGTGATGGAATTCCAGTTGAGCTATTTCAAATTCTGAAAGATGATGCTGTGAAAGTGCTGCACAATATGCCAGCAAATGTGGAAAACTCAGCAGTGGCCACAGGACTACAAAAGTCAGTTTTCATTCCAATCCCTAAGAAAGGCAATCCCAAAGAATGCTCAAACCACCGCACAATTGCACTCATCTCACACTCTAGTAAAGTAATGCTCAAAATTCTTGAAGCCAGGCTTCAGCAATATGTGAACCATGAACTTCCAGATGTTCAAGCTGGTTTTAGAAAAGGCAGAGGAACCAGAGATCAAACTGCCAAATCTGCTGGATCATCGAGAAAGCAAGAGAGTTCCAGAAAAACATCTATTTCTGCTTTATTGACTATGCCAAAGCCTTCGACTGTGTGGATCTCAATAAATTGTGGAAAATTCTGAAAGAGATGGGAGTACCAGACCACCTGACCTGCCTCTTGGGAAACCTGTATGCAGGTCAGGAAGCAACAGTTAGAATTGGACATGCAAGAACAGACTGGTTCCAAATAGGAAAAGGAGTATGTCAAGGCCATATCCTTCTAGAGCTCTATATTTCCTGCTGCCCTAGCCGCCAACTCCCCTGCACACGTGGTACTGAGCACCAGGTGCTGCCAGAACCCCTGCGACCCAAGCAGCTGCAGCACCTTCACACCTGGCCCCACAGGGGCAAACCCAGGCCCTCCAGGGCAGCCTCAGGAGGAAACCCCAGTGGACGACCCACACGCCAGAGGTGGAAATAAAACCACAATTGAAACCCAGGGGCATTGTTGCTGAGGAAGAAGACCCAAAACTTTCCAACCAGCTGTACAAGCTACAGATAAAATCCACACGATCAACTAGGCAGACTCTGTGTCTATGGAATATATAAAAGGCCATTGAGAGCTCCCACAAAAGAAAATGCACTAGTTCTGATAGCTGTGGACATTGGAGGCAAGGACACATGGGAGTAGGACCAGAGTAGAATCTGAACTTCCCCCACATCAGGTCCAGAGATCAGCACAGTATTGGAGGGCATCCTAGGGAGATGAAGTGGACTTCCAGCAAGGGAAAGGACTCTGACAGCAGTGAAACAAGAAAGACATTTACTATTCTTACATTTTGACTTGTTCTGTAGATTTTTTTGAATTTTTTTCCTTTTCCTTTTTCCTTTTTCATCCCCCTCTGTTGTGGTTGTCAATTTTGCTGGCAGTATGAAATCTAATTAAGCTTTTGAGCTTTTATTTTTTTCTCAGTCACATTTTTTATTGTTGTTATAAACCTCTGCCTTTACACTGGGCTTTTGCAGTTCTGTGGAGTTTTCTTTTCTCTCTCTCTCTCTCTAGAATTTTAATTTTTAATTTTTTAAACCTATTATTTTTTTCTACATTTATTCCTTTGTGCTTTTCCTACTGTTCTTTTACCCTTGCAGTTAATCTTTAATGAATATAAATCTTTATTTACCTCTATTTAACTCTGCATATCTATTCTTTATTTCTTTTTTTTTCTTTCCTTTCCTCTCCACATATTTGTTAGTTTTATTTTCATTGCTTTGTTCCCCAATTGGCACCTTCCTTTAGTTTTGTTTTCCAGTTTGTGTGTTTTAGTTAGTTTTGTGCTGGTAGATATAATTTTTGGTTTCCTTTGTTTGCTGGGTCAATCTATTCCACTTTACTTTTGTTGGATGGTTTTGATTTTGCTTATGGGTGTATATGTATATGTGTATATTCAGTCACACTTTTTACTGTTGCTATACACCTCTGCCTCTATGTTGGGCTTTTGCAGTTCTGGGGAGCTTTCCTTTTTTTTTTTCTTTTTTCTCCCTTCTTCCACTTTTTTCTTTTCTTATAATTTTATTTTTTTAACCTATCATATTTTTTCAATATTTATTCCTTTGTTTGCCTTTCCTACTGTTCTTTTCCCCTTGTAGTTAATCTTTAATGTATATAAATCTTCATCTACCTCTATTTAACTTTGCATATCTGTTCTTTCTTTCCTTTCCTCTCAACATATTTGTTAGTTTTGTTTTCATTGCTTTATTCCCCACTTGGCACCTTGCTTTAGTTTTGTTTTCCAGGTTGTGCTTTAGTTAGTTTTGTTCTTAACTGGTAAATATAATTTTTGATTTCCTCTGTTCACTGGGTCAATCTACTGTACTTTATTTTTGTTGGACTGTTTTGACTTTGCTCATGGGTGTATATGTATATGTGTACATTCCATTATTTTAATTATTATTTGCCATTTGTCTGGGGTTCATCTTTGGTTTCTCGTTTTTGGATATTTGTTTTAATCTCACTTAATGCCATAACAAACTACTTATGGAGTCTTCGTTCCTGACCAGAGATCAAGCCCTGAGCCTTTGGAGTGGGAGCTCTGACTCCAAGGCCCTAGACTACCAGAGAACTGACCCTAGGGAGTATCAGATAGAATTTGCACAAAGGAAACCACTTGAATACAAGACCCAGCATCACCCAACCACCAGTAAACTCAAGGAGAAACACGTCAAGACACATAATAATCAAACTAACAAAGACTAAACACAAAGAATATTAAAAGCAAGGGAGAAGCAACAAGTAACATACAAGGGAAACCCCATAAACTTAACAGCTGATCTTTCAGCAGAAACTCTGCAGGCCAGAAGGGAATGGCAGGATATATTTAAAGTACTGAAAGGGAGAAATCTACAACCAAGATTACTGTACCTGACAAGGATCTCATTCAAAATTGATGGAGAAATAAAAAGTTTTTCTTTTTACTTAACTTAAAGTAAAAGTTAAGAGAATTCAGTACCACCAAACCAGCTTTATGACAAATGTTAAAGGGACTTAAATAGTCAAGAAATACAAGAGAAGAAAAAAGATCTACAAAATCAACCCCAAACAATTAAAAAAATGGCAATAGGAACATATATATCAATAATTACTTTAAATGTAAATGCATTAAATGCTTGAACTAAAAGA